CTGGGGTTTCGCGCGCATGCACACGCAAAAATGTCGAAGCCCCCAAAAACGCAAGGCAGAAAAATGTCTGAAACCAGGTAATTACAGCTCGCAAGACCGTTTTAAGAATTGTGAGGAAAAATAATGAAAAATGTTGCCGAAACTGTGGTTTCGCGCGCATGCAAGCCCAAAAAATCCGCAAGCAGAAAAATCACGGTTGTTTTTTCTTTTTCACCATTTTGAGGTGCCCAACCCATAGACGTGAATCGCTCCGAAACGCAGGTTTTAAGCACGAAAAAACATCAAAATATGGGGAATACCCCACGGCAACATAAAGCGCCGTGGCCTAGTAGTAGTAGTAGTAGAAGTAGTAGTAGTAGTAGTAGTAGTAGAAGTAGCAGTAGTAGTAGTAGAAGTAGACATCAAGCGCCACGAGCGCTCAAAGTTTTTCCATTCCCCTCCGCATACATGGCCAGCCGACTGACTCCTTCCAAACATCTGCTGATACGTGCGAGAAAAATGTTGATCGAGCAGTTGTACTTTGAGAAAGTATCACCATGGGCTGTTGCTGAAGTTGACGCTGTAGCATGTGGATTGTGGACTGACGTCACGCTCGACGCATACATGGGTGAGCTGCAAGATGTGCTTCCAGCTGATTCGTTCAGAGAACTCCTTGGCTTCTGTGATCGGGAATATCCACTGCTGTACTGTATCGATCCCTACCGAGCAGTATCACAGGTGGGCCTACACCAGCTTCATGTGTTCAGCACAACTCCGAATCAGAGCCACGAGGCAGCAAGCACAGGGCCAAGCAATGCAGCACCCTTTTCCGGAGGCACTAGCTTCAGGCCCAGCCGTTCCCAAGCTCCAGGAGGAGCAGCTCGCTGCACAGCTCTACTGGCTGTTAAAGCAAGGCAACCACCCGAGGGGCCCAAGAATCAGGCGCACACTGGAAAGTGACTATTCTTTGGATTTCACTATAGACACGCACGGCACAAGCATATATTTGCACATCAAACTGCTGAGCTTGCTCACGAGGCACAAGAAACTGGTAAGAAAGCCACGTACCCAACATGGCAAGCATCTTCGAAATCCAGGCAACATTTGCTGACCACGACTCCCTGGAAATAGACTTAGTTCCCTCTATCCTGTCAATCCAGATAAAGGTCTGTTTGCCTTCGCAAAGAATGACATAGATGCCCAAACACCAATGACAGTCATGCACCAATGGAGAGTACCAATTTACACAATCGGTTTCCTTCACAAAGCTGGGAGCCCAGTTGTACGACGCCAGCACTCTGTCCAACAAGGAGGCCCAACACGATCAACAGCCAAAGTACGAAGTTGGTGAAAGGTGGGTCACGCAGGACTTTGACAACCCAATTGTAGTACATGTTTCTGGGACCAGGTCTACACTGTTTCCAAGCTCACCATATCGGAAGGCTCTCAATGCAGGACTCTGCTCAGGCATTCTCAAGACGTGGCCCGCATAACGCCACTTTCCAGAGATCCAGCCCTCAACGGTAGAGGAGTTCGCAAGATGTAGAAGTGCTCCCGCTGTACGCCTGCCAAGTACGTTCACAGCTAGCGCTGCTGGTTTAGACAGCCACCCCGGCACATACAGCCATACTAACCAAGTCATCCTGCGCACTTCGTCCAGATGCTTTTGCAATGGGGCTATCAAAGGAGCAATCCACAGCCACCTGGAATGAACACATCTCTTCAGAACACCAAGAACTTGGGTCGAATTGCACCAGTTTAGCCTGTTGCATATGGAGCTGAACTGTTCCAAGGCTTGAAAAACAAAACGTCTGGCAAAGTGCACGGGGTGATCATTGAAGCCAAGGCAACCTGGATCTAGAGAGTCGAAATGCTGAAGCGTCTTCTTGAGGTATACTTGGTCTTGGATTCCCACCTACACTGAGCAAGATGTCCAGAAGGTGAGACGATACATCTCCCTTGAGCTAAGAACTCAGTTGTGGACATGACAACAGTCTTGGATAGATTCAGTCGAAGCCCACGGTCAGACAAGTACTGCACAAGAAATGCAAATTCGGCATCTGCTGCTTCCCATCCCCCATATATTGCCAAGCAATCATCAACAAACAACCATCCAGGAGTATTGCGCAAGTTTCGGCTGGAATTTTGGAAAACTTCATCAATGACCGCATCGAAATAGTGAGCGAAAATTGCGGATGAGTGGCTACCTCCTTGCTGAACTCCCACGTTGGCAACGAGAGACCATTGCTCCCCCTCAAAATCAAAGTGCATTGTAGGGTGCAACATGGCTTGGCAAAGACGAAGGGCCTCCAAGGCATGGGTTTCCGGGGCGCACTGAACTATATGTTGTAGCAGGAGGTCGTACCTTACCGAATCAAATGCTTTGGTGATGTCGAGTGTGATATAGATACACGGCTGTCCCTGCAGGCTCTCACGCTCCAGGAATCCCTGAGCGCTCAGAAGCGCATCAAGCAGTTGACCTCCCGGGAGGTCACCATACTGACGCTTAGACTTTGGCCAGCGCTCCAGCAACCTAGAAGTTAACAGCTTGCAGAAACGCTTGTTGAAGGTCTCCAAAATGCAGATGGGTCTCAGCTTTGAAGCATCAGTGATCGTTTGCATCTTAGGTATCAAAACCACTAGACATTCATGTAGTTGCTGGAGATCTTGAGTGCTCTCTGCCAGCATCAGACTGAGGAAGTGGCTCAGCATCTCCATGCCCCCCGCGCAATCGCTGAGGGCTATGACTATGATGAATTCGTTACTGACGCCAGAAGCTCCAGCTGTCTTTCCCCTCTTAAGCTTGCTTACCGCTACACGAACTTCATCATCCGTGAATGGCGCAAACTCGGCGCGGGAAGAGCTGCTTCGGGGATCAGCCAAGAACGATTGAACCCTCTGCTCCTCCTCTTTGGACACTTCCCTCATAAACACAGATTGGAAATGATCTCGTACGTCCTTCACTGCTTCATCCTTACCTTTAGACATGAGAGGGGTATAGTTGGGTCTAATTTGGTTTC